AAAAGTCCTCCAGGTAACCATCCTGTCTTCTTTATGGGGACTGACCCAAGGTAGAAATCAACAAGAGTTCATTGGCTGGATCAGCCCACTTTGACCAGTGACTGAAGGAGTGTGGGTAGACCATGCAAGGTCCCAAACGAGAACCCCACACCAAAAAAGGGAGGATCACTGCTTTCGGTAGTGATATGGCTACAGACCCCAAGAATCCAGGCCATTTAAACTCACTTAGAGGACATCCAATCCAACTGATTATCTCTGAATATTCCACTAAAACAAGTGTGGTACATGGAGCAGAGTCAAAAGAGTCCATCCAGCTATGGGAAAATATAAAACATGTTGCCATATAAATAGACAATATTGTTTTATCTATAAAGGAATAAAGCAATAGAAAAGATGGGCTTCTTTTTTCCACAATTTATGTGATTTTCAATTAAAAGGAAATTTCTAACTAGTGACACATTGTCTCCTTCCTAAATGTCAGTATGTTCAAAGCCAAATGACATATTGCAACTTGTCCCAAATATCTGTGTATCCTAAGCACACTGTGTCACCAAGACTGATCCAAAGACTTGATTTATGTTGCTGCCTGACAGATGATGTCTGCAAGGCATGCTGTCTAAATGGACTGTGCTCCGGCAGTTACCTTAGTCATCAATTCTCAGGGAATTAATGAGTATCATTCATCCCAATAATAGAAACCAAGGTCAGGGCCTCTTCCTTGCTCTGTAATTCCATTAGCATTGCACTGAATGCACTTAGGTCACAAGCTCTGCAGACCTTATCACTGAGCAAATGGAACTGCATCTTGTTTTCAGAGTGAATCCTCTCTGAGCACACCTCTTGTCATAGATGTGTTGTGTATCAACATTCAGTGCACTTACACATGTAGGGAAAACTCTGGTAAAGGAAGAGTGAGGCTGCCTTCGGCTGCCAAGAGTTTCGAGTACTGTTTTTATTACAGTACATGCCAATAGAAAACATTTGTAACAAAACTGTGTCAGTACTTCCAGCTGCTGAACATACACTTAAACTGTGTGCTCACTTGTATTTTATGCAAGTCACTCAGTCATTTGATGTGGCTACCATCGAATTTATTTCTGTTTTCATTCTTTTATTTTGATCTCTATTCTTTTATCTTAGTTTTTATTCTAAGTACCCTAATAAAGTTAAAATGGCCCTGAAACTAAGTTATTACCATGAGCAAGTAATTCTGTTTACAGTGAAACTTTCATCTTGAAGTCTCAACCAGCAAGCTTTTCTAAACTAAGTCTCACCAGTCATTCCCTTGCTTTTCGTAATTTAAATTGCTTTCAACCTCTAACACATCAAAAAAGAAGGTAGTAACCCCAAGGTTTGAAGCCACAGGGAAGGATTTGAACTGTGGCTTTGACACTTGTTTTCTCAACACTGAAGTTAGGATGATTATTATACTTTCACAGCTACTTCACACTATTGCTATAAGGATTTAAAGTAAGAGGGTTCTGCGGTGCCTGGAAATTAACAAGTAATAGCTTATCATTCTTGGGCATACAAATTATGTGTGTTGTGTGTGTGTGTGTGTGTGTGTGTGTGTGTGTGTGTGTGTGTGTAAATCTGTTTTGAAACATTTGGAGTTTTATGCTCAATAAATTTTAAATGATCTACAGTAATAGAGGAAAGCAGAGGCATAAATAAGTCAAAACAGAAAATCATCCAAACACCATTTGTATGTGTTTTGAAGTATTTTTAAATTTCATTTCAAATGTCAGAATTTCTAATATCCAAAGAAATTACTTCACACAAAGAAATGACACCATGATGTGAAGTCCTAACTAAACAGGATCTGAAGAGCTGTTCAATTTCCTCTGCTTTTCTCTCTTCTCCTCCCACTTTGCCTGTCAAAAGGCAGATGCAGCAAAGAACCTGCTTCAGGCAAAGTTCTTGTCTTCCACTCACCCTTGAATCGGGACCACTCATAAAGTGTTTAGTTCTTGGCTTACAGGCAGGCTGTACTCATCAAATAAAAGCACCAGATACTCAGGAAGCAAGTAATAGATTAGAGATCTGAGCCAGCAAAGTAAGAGACGCAGGGCGGTGGCTACACTCACTAACAGCAAAGGCTATTAAATCTGATAGACTAAGGTTCTAAGCCCTGTTTAGCATATGTGACCTTGGACTAATTAATAACTGCTATATGCCACAGTTTCCTCTACTGTAAACTTGTAATGACATCACATATTTCATATGATTTGTTAAGGAGTGTTTTTAAATGTATATATACTTTATATACATTTATATATATATATATATATATATATATATATATATATATATATACACACACACATGTATATCATGTAGCACAGTGCTTGGCTCAGGTAGGTACTCATAAGAGGTAAGAAGAAAAACGGTTAATGATATTCAGTCAGTGTGAAAGTATGTGTGTATATGTGTGTAGGACTCAATGTAGGAGATTAGGAGATCTATATCATGCTGATTTCCCTTTAAATAATAAACTCTTAGAAGATGGTGTTTCCCTACTGAAACCTGCAACATCATCTTTTTTGTGAAATCAGATAAAATAAACTCTTGACCTCATCCAGTGTCTATCTAATCCACCAAACACATCTCTTTCATAATTGAAGTTATTTTTCTGTGTTGATGGTTAGAAGATATTGCTCTGTATAATCCTGTAGTAAGCAAAGTGTTCCTTCAATTCTAGCAGTATTACGGGTTTACCCCATGTGGAAAGAAACCAAGTTGGCAGCTACACACAGGCACACATACACCCCTCGGGAATGATAAGAGAAATATTTAAAAGATAATAGTAATAAAAAGAATGACAGTTAATATTTATAGATCCATTCTTACATGTCAGGCATTGTTCTGACTTTTCCTATGAAAACTCATTTAATTATCAGATGCAGTCTGTGACATCAGTGCTATTAGTGTACCAATTTTACTGTTGAAAAACAAACTCAGAGAAGTTAGGTAATTTTGCAGCGGCCACGGGAAAGATAACAATATATACACATGGCCAGGGAGACCAAATCATTTATGAGCCACCCATTCCAAGACACTGTTGAACGTGAAAGGGGGCAAAAACAGGAACTAAAGTTCACCCTTATTATGGTTGAAAACCATATACTTTGCAATGCCTACCTCATTTTTTAAAATCAGCACATTAATGAGTTCTTACTGTATTTCTACTTGAAAAAATATATTTATTGTCCTAAGATTCTAAGATGATCATTAACATGCTCTAGGTAAGGTGTTCTTCATTCAAGCCATTAGAGCTCATGGTAAATAAATATGTATCTCAGCTTCCAACATGATGAGTTTCACTTCAGGGACACAGGCTCAGCCAATATTTTCATATGCTATCTATAACCTTTCACAATAGAAGAATGAACAAGGTACTGGCTCATTAACTCACTAATTGTCCTTCCTTGCCATGGTTATTAGCTAACATTCTGCCTTTTGCTGTGAAGCATGTGCAAGATTGAGAGTTCAAGGAATAGACATCCCTGAAGCATACTGAATGGTGGGTTATGTCACTGCATCTTTCTGTAGATCAAGCAGTACCTGATTCCACAGGGAGAGCAACAACACAGAGTCATTGACAGGTTTCTGAGCAGGGGCTCACAGTCTTGAAGGGAGAAAGGAAAGAGAATGGGTTTCTAGATTGGTAGAAACTCCTTGAGGGAGTTTCCAGAAACACTGTATCCTACTGATGTCCACCCCAGAAATAGTTATCTTGGTAACTACTTGAACATTTACATTGAAATCATCCTGCCAGGAAAATCTGTATGCCCATATGTGTGGCTCTCCTCACACATATAAATAAATAATTAAAAGAAAATAAGTGGGCCAGGCACAGTGGCTCACACATGTAGTTCCAGCACTTTGGGAGGCCAAGGCAGGCAGATCACCTGAGGTAAGGAGTTTAAGACCAGCCTGGCCAACATGGTGAAACCCCATCTCTACTAAAAATACCAAAAACAAGGCATGGTGGCACACACCTATAATCCCAGCTACTTGGGAAGCTGAGGGCAGGAGAATGGCTTGAACCCAGAGGGCAGAGATTTCAGTGAGCCGAGGCTATGCCACTGCACTCCAGCCTGGGCAACAGAGCAAGACTCTGCCTCAAAAAAAAAAGAAAAAAAAAGAAGTGTACATTGTTTTTAAAAGACATATAACATTTTACCAAGCCTAAATATTTTTATATTTCAATATTTTGACATTTGGAGAGTATCTTATAGTCAATAGAGCATCATTATTTAGTTAGCAGTGTTTCCTCCCCGCCTCCCAACCCCTGGTGACATATAAAATAAAGGTGTGTCTTACTATCCACGGCATTGCATATTTGATAAAATGCATTATATATCAGACATTAGCAAGATATCAGCACCGTGTAAAGGGAAATCAGAAAGAAGAGGTAAGATGTGACAACACACCAACCTTTAAAGCTTAGTACATGAGTGGGAAGTTGGTTATAACTTCTTTACGAAGTAGCTACTACCCATATTAACACATATTTCTTTTCTTCCTTGTTTTCTCTTCTCAATAAAATAAAATGGAAGAAATTAAATTTCTGTCATTTATTATAGCTCTCTTAAATTGTTGATTATTGTCTCTAGAATATGAGTTCATGGGGCACAAATATCCCTAGCAGCATCTTAGAAATTCACCTCCTGCCTAGACATTCTAATTGAGATGAGCCCCAGTAAGGCCCAAATCGCTGTCTTTTTAACTCTTGGTTAATTATGACCAATCTGAAGTTTGAGAACTCCTGGTCTGTGTTTGGAATTGGCCTATCACTGCAAAGGACTTGAATTTAGAAACTCTGGTCTCAGTAGTATGCACAGGACCCCATTTGAGAGAAATCAGTGTGATTTCAAAAGGCAAATATACTGACAAAGGAAGGAATTCTGACATTGCATTGTTTCCTTTGGGGCTGGGACTGAAAGAACATGTATTTGTGATGTCCCTGATACCTATTTCTGTTGGGGTTTTTTTAGCTGTGCCCCATAAAATCGGACGCATCATTGATGGGAGTCCTGCAGATCGCTGTGCAAAACTAAAAGTGGGAGACCGGATCCTAGCAGTGAATGGCCAGTCTATCATCAACATGCCTCACGCTGACATCGTGAAGCTCATCAAGGATGCAGGTCTTAGTGTCACCCTTCGCATCATTCCTCAGGAGGGTGAGTGCCTGAGGCAGCCTTGCAGAGAGGCAGTCAACACACGGACACACTCACCGGCTGTTGTCAGCCTGCCTGCCAGGGTCATGGAGTGCACCTGCCTGCCGTCAGTGTGGCGTCAGAGTGTCAGAGGTTGATTATTATTTCCACCTTTGCAAAAACTCACACTCAGTTGTAATCCATATCCTGTTTACTCAGTACCTGTTTCATTCAGAGGTCAAGATATATGGCATTCCAGGCCACATAGAGTGAATTCTGAGACACCAGGTTATTCAGTTATTCTGTGTGGGCCCCCGTTTTTATGGTTATATTAAGTCAGAACTCATTCAACAGAGGTGACAGAGTTATAAATCTGAAAAAAAAATTTGTGTTAACAGTAAATCTCTAGAGGATTCTTCAAAGTCAGATTGGTTTTGAAAAACGTGAAGTTTTGTAGTGTAAGAAGAGCTCATTTAGAAAATGTTGCATCTGATAAGAATTTAAAATTCCCACTGAGCCTTTTGAATTTGTCTATACAAGGACTCCCTCCTGAGGCTCAAAACAGTAGTGAACAGTACAATTCATAACCATGCCCTAAAGGGTCATGGAGCTGTGAACATCACTGTACCATCAGTTCACCATTTCCAGAGACAGTGGGTCCGTGACTTGTTTCTGGCTGCTGACTCATCAATGATATTGAAGAATTCTATTTCTGGAGCTCACTGATGAATGTTCCACACAGAGGCTGATGGGCTCACTCAACTTGCTACCCTTTGTTTTATTCAGCCCCCAATTCCATTTTAGGAGTATCTGACATGCAGGCACCAAATGGTTAAACAGCCACTTGACTTTAAATATAAAACAGTAGTTCTCAATAGGGGTGGTTTTATCCCTCCAGGGGACATTTGGCAAAGTCTGGAGGTATTTTTGACTGTCCTGATTGGGGTGGGCAGGCTGCTGGCATCTAGTGGGTGGAGGCCAAGAATGCTGCCAACCATCCTAAAATACACAGGACAGCTGCCCAATGGAAAGAATCACCCAACCCAAAATGCCTACAGTGCTGAGGCAGGGAAATCCTGATAGAAATGGAGAAGACATTAAAAGATTTGGACTATGGGGAATAAAAGGGGAAGAAAAGTTTGCAGAAGAATGCTAAAGATTACCTCCCTTTTCTTACCCAATCATAAAAAGAGACAGAGAAAAGAAAATGACCACGCTTTTTTTAAAGCTACTGTCTGCTACTAAAGCAGACACCAATATGTATAAACTATTCAATGGAAATTAACTGCAAACAAGGCTGCTCACTGAAAATCTAAATGCTTCCCAGTTTTCCGAGTCTGGAACGTGTCTGTTGGGCCCTTATGCCAATATATAGAGTCAATTTCAGTTGAAAATCTGATGTTATTAGGAAAGAAATCTGGAAGTAGTTATTTAAGAACAGTTTTGTGAATCTTCCTGTGTCCATTTTTTCTTCTTTTTTCTTTCTGGAGAAATGTGGAGTCCAGTGGGCTATGAGGCAATAAGACTGACAAGGGATGAGGAAAAGATTGTAAAAAGCATTTTCCTTTTTATGGTTCATTCCTTATCCACACTTTGAAAGACTCTTCAGACTGTTTATTACAAGTAAAATGTGGTGGCAGATCCATTTGCGAAAATAGAATATGTGTTACTGCTTAGTCCTTTGAATTATTTTTTTTCAAAGTTTTACGGGGTTTTTCGGTAATCTTTTCTTCTGGCAGAATGACAAGATACTGTTTATAACCTTGTTGCGCAGTGATCATTAATGAAAGAATACAGATATCGGAAGTGGTATTAGAACTTGATAATAGGTGTTCACCTGCTATCTAAACACCTAACAGAAACAGAAATAACCAAAGCCTGACCCATCTGCAGAGGCAACGTCAACACCTCTGATCACCTCTTTCCCCTTATCAATGCTAACCTGACTTCATCTGGTGCTTTGGTTCTCCATCGCAGAGCTCAACAGCCCCACCTCGGCACCCAGCTCAGAGAAGCAGAGTCCCATGGCGCAGCAGAGTCCCCTGGCACAGCAGAGTCCCCTGGCACAGCCAAGCCCAGCCACTCCCAACAGCCCCGTCGCCCAGCCAGCACCACCTCAACCACTTCAGCTGCAAGGCCATGAAAATAGGTAAAGTTTCCTCTGACTTTTGTGATTCTGAGAGGCAAGGGGCTGGGGAGAGGAGGGAGCATTTGCAGACAGTACAGGACAGGCAGAGAGATTTTTCATAAAGTAGAAATCGCTGTGTACACCTATGTGTGATTTTGAGGTTGTGTGTGTGTGTTATAGATATGGTTTTATTAGTAAAGATAGCTGAGTGTCTGTCCTTCACAAAGAGAGACGCCTTCCTGAAGAAATGGTGAGCAGTTGCAGATGAGTAGGGCTTAACAGTTGAAGAGTGTGTTAAAGGGAGTCCAGAGTGAAAAACATACTCAAAGGCCCTCTGGCAGGAGTGAGCATGCAGCATGAAAGATAGAAAGACAGCCAATATAGGGGTGGCAGAGGGAGAAGTGTATGATGTCAGATGTAGCCAGTGAGGGTGGCCAGGGCCCTCCCTAAAAAGCCTCATAAGCATGATTGTTCAATGTTTTGATCTTTAAGTGCAGTGGACTTTAAAGGGTCTTAAGCAGACGACTGATATCATTGGATTTGCTTTATAAGAAGGCCTCTCAGTCTGCCCTGCAGAGAGCAGACAGGAAGCTGGTGGGGTAAATGCAGGTTAAGCAGTTAGGAGTTGGCTGCAGATGTCCACTGAACCATGAAGGTCATGACTAAGAGAATGCTGAAGGATTTGTAGGCATTATTAAGTATTAGCAGCCAAGTGTGGTGGTTCACGCCTATAATCCCAGCACTTTGAGAAGCCAAGGTGTGAGGATTGCTTGAGCCCAGGAGTTCAAGACCAGCCTAAGCAACATGGTAAAACCCCATCTCTACAAAAAATACAAAAACTAGCCAGTCATAGTGGTACTCGCCTATAGTTACAGCCACTTGGGAGGCTGAGGCAGGAGAACCACTTGAGCCCAGGAGGCAGAGGTTGCAGTGAGCTGAGAACATTTCCATTGCACTCCAGCCTGGGTGACAGAGTGGGACTCTGTCTCAATAATAAAATAAATTAGCATTTTTACTGAGTAATAATCTTACATCCTCCTACTCACAATCTAATGAGGTTCTTCTATTCCACACATAGCATTCAAGATAGGCACCATAGACTAATGAATAAGACACTTTGAACTTCCAGAAAAACAATGTCATAAGAACAACACTGTCTTCTCATTGTGACTTGTAAATAACAAGGATCCTGGGTTGGGTTGAGCCATTAAAGAAAAAGATGAAGACATGTTCCCATGATGCTTTCTCCCTTTTCGTGGGAGAAAAACAACAACTCACAGAAACACTTCTGCATACAAACCCCTCACTGGCCTTTTTCATGATTCTAATGTTTTCTGAACATTTGCTTCCCATCCCTCTCCTCCCATGATGGTGAAGATGAAGTGAGACTCTGTTTTGATTCCCAGAACTCTCTGGGTTCATCATTCACATTGTTGCAAAGCAAACACTGTTCCTTGTGCCACAGGTGGCATTTCTACAAAGCCTCATTCTACTGATTTCCCATTTGCTTTCATAGAAAATAAATGTCTGGTTGCCCTCAGCTGCTTATGTTTTTAATATGTGCAAGGAAGAGAAAAGCCCCATAAAGCAAATGATGCAGAAGTGAGAATGTGACAATCCATAAGAAGGGTAGGTCCTAGGTGTCTCATTAATGAGCCTCAGATGCGTTTGCTCTTGCCGTGTATCACTGTGACAGATTGCACTGGCTTTCCCCAGAATTCATCTTAGACTCAAGAGGAAGGACTTGAGCGCCCCAGCAGTCCCCAAGCCAGCTTCAGGCTCTTCTTGCTGTGGTCAATTAATCTTGCAGCCACATTGCATTCTCCTTTCCAGAGTTGGATTTCCCTGGACATGGCTCTTGCTTCCAGGCATGGGTGGGTGAGCTCATCCCTGGCATGCTATAGCCCTGAGGGGAGAACCACAGCTGGATACAGCCACTGTCATATCTCATCTGCCACCAGCTCACAACTGGGATACCTTGTTCCCTATCACAGAAGCAGTGGTCTCTGGACATCCTTACTGCAGAATGAAATATTCCTAACTCTGGGATTCACAGGTGAACCTAATCCAAATGTTTATAAGTCACCAACATATTTGCCCAGAGTTTAAGGTATTTTTCTGCTTCTACTACTACATTGCTTCTAAGGTATTTTGCTTCGATTACTGTATTAACAGCTTAGGAAGTGCTCATTCCAACTCTAGGGCCCTTTATTGGCCCTCGGGTCTACTGGCTGAACTCTGTGATTCCTGGTGGTGGCTCATTTATATATGAATGAAGAGGTTCAGTAATCTTAACAGGTACCAGAAACATTTTTCCTAATTACATTTAAAGATATCCATGGTATCAGAGGGAAAACTCTTTGCCATTTTTTTAGGTCAGGCTGGAGATGTCTCTAAGACAGTTTATAAGCCAAGTGCATAGTATGAATTTCCTGTTTCTCCGTTTGTCCAAGGAGTGTCCACCTACATGTCAAATTGAGCCAGTTCTCATATTAGAGCGGGACAAAATAAAATGGCAGTCTGCTTGCAAATGTCTATGTTGTGAGTTAGAATGAATGATATTTTTTGACTTCCTATGACACCATACACCTCTCCCCATTTCTTTTCTTTTTGAGACGGAGTTTCGCTCTTATTACCCAGGCTGGAGTGCAATGGCGCGATCTCGGCTCACCGCAACCTCCGCCTCCTGGATTCAGGCAATTCTCCTGCTTCAGCCTCCCGAGTAGCTAGGATTACAGGCACGCGCCACCATGCCCAGCTAATTTTTTGTATTTTTAGTAGAGACGGGGTTTCACCACGTTGACCAGGATGGTCTCGATCTCTTGACCTCGTGATCCACCCGCCTCGGCCTCCCAAAGTGCTGGGATTACAGGCGTGAGCCACCGCGCCCGGCCACCTCTCCCCATTTCTCAGTCTTTTAACATTTTTGGGGTGTGTGCTCAGGAAAAACACTATTCAAGGAGAAGCATTTATTGAAAACAACGGAAGAGCCGTTATGGAATATATTTCAAAACTAAGTATAAATAGCAGAGTTCACCTTCTCTAGCACAGGCAATTGATATTTGCAGTTTAATTGGCAAGGTCAGTGAAAGACCATTGGAAACTGACTTATTTCACAGACTCTGAACTCTAGATGCACAGGACTGGAAGTGATTCTTGAAGGGCCACATGATATGTGCATTCTTAACATGGGCAGCATTTCTTTGTTCTGGAACTTTTTCATACCACAAAAACCTGCTAGAATGTACCATTTGCAATCTGGTTTTTATCATTTCTAAAGTCTCTTCAGCAATGGAACTAATAGCTATGAAGGGTTATATTGATGATCTTCTTTCAGAAGTAAAAGAACTTAAGAGAGCCAGTTTTTAAAAATAGTCCTGAGTTTTCTTTAAAGTGTTTCACACATCCAATGCAACATAATTTTTGTCCTAGCTGGTATATTATTCACTTAAAAGTTAGAAACATTCATTAAAAAAATTAGTATGTTTTTCTTATTAAAGAATTCTTCAATGTGTAGTTCAATTTAAAATCCTGACACAAAACACTGTGTAGAATATAGTTTGAATGCTTGACAGCCTGGACGAGTGTGTTGAAAGTTTCAACTGCTCCTATTTTAGTCATTTGTGTTACTTTGGGGGAGATTCTTACATTTCACCCTCTTTTTCCATATCTCGAGACACATCTGGTTAAATATTGAGCACACAATGGATATTGCATATTAATACCACACAGATCATGGAAATAAAGTGACTGTGATAACTTAAAACACTGTGACATCCAAACCACCAAGCAAGCTATTTCCAGAAAGGAACCAACACACACTGGCAAATGTCACCCAGTTCAATTCCTTTTGTTTAATGCATGCATTTGCATAGCTAAGCATCTTATTCAAAGCATATTTTAAATAATTCTATTCTCAGCATGCATGCTCCCAGTAGGCAAGTGGACAACTGAGGTATAAAGCAAAGCCAAAATTATGCAGCTCACAAAAGGAATGCCTCTCCTCTGCAGGGTTAAGTAATAAATGGGACCTACTCAAAGAGTTGATTAAAATAACCACATTACTAACCCCCTTCTAAGAGCCCCAAATAAACACATCTGTTGCCATGCACTTTCAGTATGCCCTCACCAAATATTAGATTACACTAATGGCAATTGTTCAGGCAAGTGATTTTTAAAAACACTTAATACTAATCAGCATCAGTGAGACCATAAGCCAGTAAAAAAAAAAAAATACATCTAGACTTAAAGGTGAGAATTCTACTGGTTTGCACCAGTTGTCCTGACACATTTGAGCTTTTACTTGCTGCTAAAGATTTTCTCAATTCCTCATACCTTCCAATTAATTTTAGATAAAATTATTACCATGTAGAATGTACTTTTTCAATCTACCTACATCCCTGGATAGCTCATTATAGACTGTTGCCATGGCAATAGGCAGTGAACAACAGAATTAAGTGTCCTCCATACCATGGTGATAATTTTTCAGTTCACCTTATTAATGATCCCATAATGGTAGGGATTGGCTATTTCTTTTGAAACTAGTAACCTCCTCAGCTTAAAGCAGTTTGGATCACAAAACAATGCTAAACTCCCAGCTCTGGTCTCTGTGTTTATTTCATTAGTAACTAATATCTAGAAGCAAGAAAGAGATACATGTTAGACACAACATTTTTGCCTTCTCTTCCATCTTATGGCCACCGTAGTATCTGATGCTAATCCTTATAGCTATGGTATAGTATTTAAGCCTCTGTGTAATATGTTTCCAATTTTACCAATGATCCAATGACTTGTCACTTATTAGTAGTTGGTTATTATATTTTACCATCACTCCTTTAACCTCTGTAAAATATTCAAGAAGACCCAACTCAGCAGGTTAAAATAGCCTTAATTGTGTATTTGTAACGTATTTACAGATCACTTCAATCATGCTTTTATAAAGTAATGAATGATCTACCAAGGGGTGTGTGTGAGAGAAAAAAGTGAGAGTGAGAGAGGAAGGTTGGTGTACTGCTGTTAAGACAGGCTGATTTTGGGGGATGTATGGTTTAGTACTTCAATCCCTAGATTTGCTGTGGCTGTACAGTTTTCAAATAGCCAAAGTCAAAGAGGAACATCCATGAGTCCTTTTCCACAAGGTTCTGGTTGAGCCACCATTTTTACCTTGACTTCTTAAAGAGCCATATGAAAAGTATACAATGTGGCATTTGTCACAGATTTTTAAATAATATTTATTTAATCTTTTCATAATCCTGAACATGCAACAGGACCACCGAGAGGAGTGGCTTGTGTGAGCTGTCGTGGCTTGTATGGCTGGACAACCTCTGGAGGCCATGTGATCATTCTAGTCTCCTTAGAATGCACCTGAGTTACAAGCAAATCCCATTTCCATTGATTTAGTTACAGGTCAGAAGTGAAAGCAAGGCAAGATGTGAAACCAGACATCCGACAGCCTCCCTTCACAGACTACAGGCAGCCTCCGCTGGACTACAGGCAACCCCCGGGAGGCGATTACCAGCAGCCCCCGCCCTTGGACTACAGACAGCCTCCCCTGCTGGACTACAGGCAGCACTCCCCCGACACCAGGCAGTACCCTCTGTCGGACTACAGGCAGCCCCAGGTACCTCCTCCCCGAGAGCAGGGTGGGCCCTGACCAAGGCTTCCAGAGAACTGCAAGGAATGAAATTGAAGCAGAGACAGAGGAAAGTGTACCTGTCTGGGATAGAGAGCTGCAGTTCTATTCCTAGCTCTGATAACATCGGGGTAACACCTGCATTCCCAAACACATGCTGGATAAATAAATTATTTCAGAATAAACCAGGACAATAGATAAATAAATAAATAGTGGATTAGTAGTAATGGAATGAACTAATCCCTGCTAATCACTAGCTAACTCCCTGTATATTTCCTTGTCAAGGTATCTAAAATGCTCTAAGCTGGGACCTCTGAGAGAAAGGAAACTTTATAGATGCTAGTACTAGAGCTATTTTAGGTCCATAGTTTTTTACATGGCCCCCACCTGCCTTTCTGTGATAAAGGGCCAAGCCCCTGCACATAAGGGTAAGACTAGGCCTGGCTTTGCAATACAGAGTGTAGCCTGTGCAACAGCCAACGACTTTCTGTCTACACAACCAGTGGCATGTTTGTTATGATTATTTGTTGATGCACTTCGTGTCAACTTCCTTTACTTCTCTGAGATTCAGTTTCCTAAAGGGTGGGTCTTCCTCACCACAGGCCAGGGTGAGGATTTGACATTTATGAAAAGAGTCCAGAGCAGAGTTTGGTATCTAGAAAATATTTCCTGCTTCATAACTACATATCAAGATATAAATTAAATACAATCTCAACTCTATCAGATTACATTGTGTTTTATTATGAATTGAAGATCACCTTTATCCTCAAAGCTTTTAAGAATAGTGAAGATCAGAGAATCTTGCACATATTGCATTTTAAGTAAAAGAGAAATTGATTTTGTACATTCCAACTTGATATTCAATAGTCTGTGAAACTGAGAGATCTATCAGATGCCACTAAATTTCACTTCAGCAAACTCTGTAATTTACATACACACATGCACATACACACACACCTGACATTTATTTATCATGCTCAACAGCAGTGAATGAGAAAAATCAAAGGAGAGGTGATATCATTCAAGCCTATCGGTAATCATTCCACATTTGCCAAGTAAGCTGATGAATACCAGAGTAAACAAACTACACAGTAATTCTTTGATGACCAAGTAACTGTGCTGTGGTCTGCTCAAACCTTTGGAATTTTGTCTTGCATTTGGATAGTTCATAAAGTCAGATTACTACTTCTCCCATCATCATGTCATTTGGAATACACTAAGAGAGAGAAGGAGAACACAGAGACCAGCCACAGAAGCTTCTCTGACACTAAACAATTGTCTATTCCATTTTCTCCCCCACCCCAAAGGATTTTGATTATTTCACTGTGGACATGGAAAAAGGAGCCAAAGGATTTGGATTCAGCATTCGTGGAGGAAGGGAATACAAAATGGATTTGTATGTGTTGAGATTGGCAGAAGATGGACCAGCAATAAGGAATGGGAGAATGAGGGTAAGAACAGTCTCTTTTTATAGAATTGCTTAATTCTGAAAGAAAACCCCACTGCGGCATTCGAAGAGTGCTGAAGCATGCTGTCAGACAGAGCTGCTGCAGGTCTGCCTTCCTTCTAGTTCATGACCCAGTTTCTTAAAGGTTTGGCCAAATGCTATTTTATAATATCGCTCATTCTCATGTTTCTGCTTATGACCTTCTAATTGATTAAACCTCAATAGAGCACTATTTTTCTAAAGAGCAAATGAAAGAAAATGGAGAAAGTATAGAAATCTAAAAAATAGCTTGAAAAGGAAACATTATTGCTCCATAATTCTTTCTATGGTTTGATGATTCTGTTTTCATTAAGGTTGAATCTTTTGAAATTTATTTTTAGTTTTGTGCTTTTTCCCCCATATTGATTAATCATATGCTTTTGCAGGACTTTTTGGAAATGTTTCCTTTGTGTTGACTGGTCTTTTGGTTTGATACTGGGAAGACAGAAGCATTAGGAGAAAAAGGGATTTGACTTCTTGGATACAGGTTGTTCTTAAAAATGACAGCAGGAGGCTGGCATGGTGGCTCATGCCAGTAATCCCAGCACTTTGGGAGCCCAAGGCAGATGGATCACAAGGTCAGGAGTTCAAGATCAGCCTGACCAACACAGTGAGACCCCGCCTCTACTAAAAAAAAAAAAATACAAAACTTAGCCAGGTGTGTTGGCAAGTGCCTGTAATCCCAGCTACTCAGGAGACTGAGGCAGGAGAATCGCTTGAACCTGGGAGGCAGAGGTTGCAGTGAGCGGAGAGGTTGCAGTGAGCCAAGATGGCACCACTGCACTCCAGCCTGGGCGACACAGTGAGACTCCATCTCAAAAAAAAAAAAAAAAAAAAAAAATGATGGCAGCTAGAAATTTTCCAATTAGAGTGTAAGTTGAGAATGGATTTTTTCATTTAATAATTACTTTGAGGCATCTGATTGATGAGTAACTAATTCTTCATTTAAGGGTCTAAAACAAAGCTTGTTAACAAAATAAAACATCAGAGAGTCTTTACTTTCTCTTTCTTTCTCTCTTTCTCTCTCTCTGTGTGTGTGTGTGTGTGTGTGTGTGTGTGTGTGTGTGTGTGTGTGTGTGTAAAATCTAGGATTTATTCTTGACCTTCCTCCTAGCTCTTTAAGTTAATACAGAAAAGCGGTGGCTTTGGGATTCTGGAACCTCGGATTCTTGCGCAGAGCCTCACCAACGAATTTTCCCTGTTGGCTGAATCTGTTATTTCTACCACCATGTCTACATATCTATGATACTCATTTCCAAGTCAGGGGATTAGCCACAGTACAAAAACAGAAAGTATGCACATCATGCTTGGTTTCTCCTTCTCACCACACTCCTTTGACAGCTGTGAACTATCTGAGTTGGAATTTAAACCCAGGCAGGGCTGACACCAAAGACTGGCAGCCCCTGCCCTGATCTAGCACCAGCTTCCTCTTACCTGTCTAACCCTGGTTTGAAGATGGGCCTCCACATGGTTTCCTGGCTCTACAACTTCCCTATCACACAGAAGGGCATTTTCCCAACCTACTGTAAAGCCAGTTCACAAGTGGTTAAGTAAAAAAAAATTAATTGTCACAGTGCAGGTGAAACACAGCAGGAAAACCATGAGCGAAATGGCCAGAGCCCTGTGAGAGATAGAGGCCCACAGTGGACTGCAGGGCTGGTCTCCGTAGGTTACAAACAGTGGCTATGTATTTTATCAAGGGGTCCACATGACTCACTGCTGGATATATACAATACTCTCAAGGCAAAGAAGCCTAAATAGAGAAATACTCTTACAGGAAAAAGATTCCTCTTTCTTACAGAATTTAAGCCAGAGCAATGGTTCTCAGCATAGTTCCTGACATCGGCATCACCTGGAAACTTGGTAGAAATGCAGATTCTCGAGGCCCACCCCAGACCTGCTGAATCAGAAACGCTAGGAGTAGGATCACCCACCAGGCTATGTTTTAGGAAACCCTCCAGTTGGATCTCTGAGGTTTTACCTTCCGAGGTTTTTTATAGATACTTGTGTCAACTGCAATCCAAAAATATTACATGAAAATTTTCAGAAATAAACAATTTATAAATTTTAAATTGTGCAGCATTCTGAGTAGTGTGCTGAAATGTTGTCCTTCCCAGAAGGGGACACAGTCCTTTATCCACACTGTAGATGTTACCTGCCCATTGGTCACTCAATAGCCCTCTCGATTATCAGATTGACTGTCATGCTGTCACACTGCCCGTGTTCAAGTAACCCTTATTTTACTTAATAATGGCCCCAAACTGCAAGAGTAGTGAAGCTGGCATTTTGTTCTAATCATTCTTTTCTTTTATTGTTGTTGATCCTTTACTGTGCCTGATTTGTAAATTAAAATTTATCATAGATATAGATAGGGAAAATAGTGTATGTAGGGTTACTTCTACCTGTGATTTCAGGCATCCACTGGAGATCTTGGAATATCTCCAAGTGGTATGAGGGGTAACTACTGTATTTACTTTATGAAAAAGCCAGTGGAGAAAAGCAAGCTTTGACTTTAATAATTATACTATATGCTGGGGTCTACTGGGGGGAAAAGGGGAGGGCCAGTGGGAGGGGGAGGTGGGGAGGGATAGCCTGGGGAGAAATGCCACATGTGGGTGAAGGGGAGAAGGAAAGAAAAGCACACTGCCATGTGTGTTCCTACGCAACTGTCTTGCATGCTCTGCTCACGTACCCCAAAACCTAAAATCCAATAAAAAATTGAAAAAATAAATAAATAAATAAATACAATAATTATACTATATGGTTTTCAACATCAGTTAATACTGATGTATTAAAAGTTGAATAGACAAAACAAAACACAATCTGTGAATGAAGAAAATAAGGGGAATAGTAAATAGAGATGTGTATCATTTTCATGTCTGATTGCTTTTCTTCAGTCACTCAAGAAGGCTAATGTTGGCTGGGTGTGCTGACTCACACCTGTAATCCCAGCACTTTGGGAGGCTGAGGCAGGTGGATCACAAGGTCAAGAGATTGAGACCATCGTGGCCAACATGGTGAAACCCCGTCTCTACTAAAAAATACAAAAATTAACTGGGCGTGGTGGCGCGCACCTGTAGTCCCAGCTACTCGGGAGTCTGAGGCAGGAGAATTGCTTGAACCCAAGAGGCGGAGGTTGCAGTGAGCCAAGATCACACCACTGCACTCCAGCCTGGTGCCTGGCAACAGAGCAAGACTCAGTCTCAAAAAAAAAAAAAAAAAGAAGGCTAACGTCATAATAGAAACACAATGGATAGTCAGGTTTTAAGGAAAAGTATAATAAATTATTGGAAAATATTACTGTATCTCTTTGTAAAAAGAAGACTTAGGTTTGTAAAATAGTCTAATAAAATTGGGAGGGATGAATTTTTCATAGCCAGTGAATAAATCTCTGATACAAAGTTCCTGGGAATATAACCTCATTAAGCACAGAAACTAAATAGAAAACACAGGCAAAAAATAATGAACATAAAAAATAATATTAGAGAAGCTCAGTAAAACAGGAAAGGTAAGAAATCAGGAGACATTTGGAGGGAAAGAATAGAAATTCCAAGTGCTTACATAAAAATCTGAGAGTCAAGTTAAAAGAAGATCTGAAAGGAGATCAAGTTTGCTCTTAAAATGGTAAAAGATTTCCCTGTTTCCATAAAAGTATAATATAGTTTGCATTTCCATAAAATGTATTTTTATGATGAAAAAGAACATCATTTCATAACTGTATCACCTGCAGCTGGGCACCATTTGTATATGCCTAGTTAGCATCACATAAGCTTATTTATAAAATGGTTTACCTACTTTCTGAAACTCACATGATGCAAAAGTCTGCTTGCAGTGGGCTTTGGAATGACCTAAAACATTTTATTCAACTAATCAATGCACAAAAAAGATACCACTTGCCCATCTTTTTTTAATGGAAAGCAACTTTCTCTGAAATTAGCTTATTTTAAATTTGTCACCTTTCCCTCCATGGGCCAGACATAACTAGTCAAATACAAAAGTCACCTGGTTTATATATTATTCTTATTAAACATAAAACCATTTACAAAGAATATTTCTAACATATGTAATAGGTATAAATAATAACAATGATTCAAGGACGCATGAACCTATAGCACAGCTTAAAAACAGAATATTACAAAGCTCCCATGATTTCATTCTCCTCCCACTCTCCAGCCCTCAAAGAGAACCATTTTCCTAAATAAAGCACTTGGCATTTCTTCTATTGTTACCACAGATGTGTGTATCTCTCAACTATATCATTTGGGGGTTTTGCACACTTCGTGAACTTTATGTAACTGAATCATACAGGTTCTTCTCTGTGGTTTCCTTTAACTTCATGAGATTCATCCAAGGTTGGTGCATGAAGCTATAGTTCATTTATTTTTCACTGCTATAAAGTACTTCATTATACAAATATGCTACAAACTATAGTAGTTACCTATTTTTCTGTTTTATGAACATTTGAGATTTTCTCTGTCAGTTTACACTTTTTGGTTGTTTCCAAGATTTTTGTAACTTATACAACCCTTGTACACCATTCCTACTGTGTCTATGCAAGACTTTCTCTAGACTAGACTATATGCCTTGGAGGGCACAAATTTAACTTACTTAAGTAACGCAAAAGTGTTGACCAAGGTGGTTATACAGTTATATTACCATGTAAAAAAGTTTTTCTTACTACGTACACCCACGAGATTTGTAATTCAGACTTTTAAACTCTCATTCTGGTAGGTAGAAAATTACATACTTTAGGTTTAGATTTGCATTTCTTGATTATGAATGATATTCATCATTTTTTATGTTTTATTAGACTTTCATGTTCTCTCTTAAATAAAAAATGCCTTTACATGTCTTTTCTTCATTTTCTGTTGAATATTTCTTCATATTGATTATAGAAGTGCTTATATATTGATTTTTGTTTTCTATCAATTTCACTTTCTTTATAATGCAGTTTCACTTTCTTTA